ACCATCACACTATAACGTCTTCCCGACTGAAAGGATGAGCATGTTTGGTAGGATGGTTATTAGAACCCGTGACCCTCAGATTGCGACCCAAGCGCCCTAACTATTTGGCTATGCCGGGCCTTAATAACGAAGCTGGCTTCTGAAAACAGAATTATATACGTACAGTATGTTAGCAAGAGTTACTACTATACTCTCAAAAATTGTTGGTCTTTTGACATCTAGTATTCACGTCTCAGGCTATGGTAGATTTGATATGATTTCTATCCTGTTTTATAAACCAAGAAATGTATAAAAAAGAAATTTTAAAAATTATAATTGGTACGTTAATTTCATTGCTGTAGGAAACATTTTTGTCACAGCTAAACAATGTGACACAAGATGTGTGCAAGACACACACTACCGCCATGCAAAGCATGCCATTTCTATATGGTATGGGGCATACCCCCACCCCCCATCCCAGAAAAGTTTTGAAAATTTAATGTTATGAGATTGAGTCAAATACTGCATACACATAACGTAACGTATTGAATTAAAAGAAGCAAGTTTTAATGCTTAACTTGTAGCTATACATGCCAGGAAAATGTGGTCAGGCCATAACCACTTTCTACGGCCCTGCATTTGGTATAAACACTTTACAAAAAAAAGCAACTATCGGGGAAAATGAATGAGAACAGATATTAAGGTAGGAAGTTTATGAAAAACATTCTTAAGTAAAAGTACTGCGATATATTTATGAAATAAATCTTGTTTATCATTCATATTACTATAATACATCGAAGAAAATTATATTATTTATTTGAATTGTAACCAGCTAATAGTACCCACCGCCAACTTTTGGGCTACTACTTAATAAGGAATAGATTGACTGTCATATTATAACGCTCCTAGAGCTGAAAAAAAAGGGGGGTATGTTCGGCACCGGATTTCAATTCAATTCAGAGTCATAATAATTAGCCCACAAATGTATATCAGTAGCTGATCTAGAATATTTTTCTTTGGCGGGAGGAGTGGTGGCTGTCCCAAGAACTATTTCGATGTTTTACGAAGCAATAAGTTACTTTCGCAAACATGAAAAATTTGATCAGGGCCGTTTTAAGTTACTAAACAGAGTCACAAATGAGCGGGCCATTGTTCTCATCCACGAGGAGGGTCCAGATATTTCTTCAGTTATTGATTTTGTTGATTGGTGAGCCCCGAAAGATGCCCCCTATATTAATAAATAATATAATTTAATCCAAACAAAAAGCATGTTTATGTTTCCTAATGAAGTGTTGGCTTACTGCTTTAAACCTAATCTATCTATGTAGTTCATTGATAGTTCATTTTATGTAAAAAATATATTGCACGTATGTACGCAGGGGAGAGGGGGTCACCCGAATCCCATATTTTTGTGATGGGAAAAAAATAATCTCATTAAGTTCATTTTCATATGAACGTTCGGTATCTGCTCTCCGTTGGTTGAATAATTACCTGAGGTGTACACAAACAGAAGAAAGACTGAGTGCTCTAGCTTTAATACATAATCCTTATGACACTATCAACATTGAAACTGTATCTAAGTTATTTATGGAAATGCACTCCAGAAGAATGCTAACATGTTATTTCAGTAGTGCATACATGTACGTATATGATAGTCAATGATTGAAATAGCTAATATACGATTGTTGTACAGAGTTGTTTAAATTAGTAATATAATTTAACAATAAATAACTACGCTGCATGTAGATAGTACAGTACTTTACTATAATAAAACATACACATTTATGCTAATTTATATCTAGCTCCCCATGAAGTGTTACGACAGAATAATGATTTGTTGACTTTTCATTGGCTGTTTGTGGATTTTATGTGAACAGCCATACAAGTGTTTAAGTTATGTTTTGTGCAAAGTTGCTTTCCAGATTTAATGTCATAACACCTATTTTTTTTTTTACAATTTTCTGTGGGGTCATGCTCCAAGACTCCCGTGGCGTTAGCATACTTTGTATGTTGATTGTGTTTCGCTCAATATGTGTTGGCTTTTGATCTCACAAATTATAACTCCCCTTTCAAACAGTCTGCGTACGGGCCTGTATTGTGGGACTTTTAAGGTTATGTTAGGAGAGATACGAAGAGAATAGTTCACTGCAGTGCTTAAATATGTAGCAAACACAAGCGTACAGGCCTGTATTGTGGAACGTTTAAGGTTATGTTTGGAGAGATACGAACAGAATGGTTCACTGCAGTGCTTAAATATGTAGCAAACACAAGCGTACAGGCCTGTATTGTGGAACGTTTAAGGTTATGTTTGGAGAGATACGAACAGAATGGTTCACTGCAATGCTTAAGTGTGTAGCAAACATAAGCGAAGTTTATAATTTGATGAAATAGCCGTGAGCTCTCTAAAGCTGGAAAGCGAATTCACCCAGTCATCTGTATTCTGTTAGCTGGGAGATTAAGGTCAGACAGTAAGAACAATTGTTAGTAGAAAATCTTCCCAACGCCTTGGAAAGATATTCTAGTTATGTGATCTATTAAAATAACATAACACCGGTTCAAACTGTTCACCAGCTGTCAGAAGATTATGAGATTTGTGTTGAACGAGTTTATTATCGGTAGGCCATCCCGACCTAATTCCTTAGGACAGCCGTGGGATTAAAGGGAATCCTGGCGCCACTGTCCTGTTGGAAAATCGCTTTTGTAAGAAGGATGGTATTCCAAATAAAGCCATGTGGGTGATTATATTCGAAACTATTGTTGAATGATTCAAAGTCGTTAGCGTAAGCATATCTAAAGTCGTGTTAATTCCGTTAACCGAAAATTTTCAACTGACTATCACAGTGAACAGTAGGGTTTTGTTTACAAGATTTTATGAACAGTAGAGTTTTATTTACGAGATTTTATGAACAGTAGTGTTTTATTTACGAGATTTTATGAATAGTAGGGTTTTATTTACGAGATTTTATGAATAGTAGGATTTTATTTACGAGATTTTATGAATAGTAGGGTTTTATTTACGAGATTTAATGAGCAGTGGGGTTTTATTTACGATATTTTATGAACAGTAGGGTTTTATTTACGAGATTTGATAAGCTCAGGATGAGTGTACAAGTCATGTGAATAAATGCCTAGGGGGATGAACGATTTCGAGAAACAAATCTAGATTGGTAAATGGTTGCTCCGACATCTGTGGCAAACTTAACAGTTTTATTAGCAGAAGCAACAGATCATCTAAAATTAATTTAAAAAAAAGTTAATTAGCTACTTTAAAAATCTAAACGTGCAACTTAAATAAAAACAAACACATACACAGAGAAAACAGCTACTTTCTTGATAACGAAACATCAATTCCACATCTTTCTGATAAATGTGTCTTAAACGATCTTGCTTACAAGACACTTGAACTAATTTCTGGTATAAATGTAAGCTTACGTGTATGTTTACCAGTGATAATTTCAAGAAGCTGACCAGAATCACATCAATATAAAGACACTATATATAATGACTGCTGGTGAAGAGAGCATATTTAGCAGTTGAAACCAGGCATTCTGTTGGTTATAACTAAATCTGATTCATGAAGTAGGTGTAAACTGTAAATGAAATAAATCTGATTCATGAAGTAGGTGTAAACTATAGATCAAATAAATCTGATTCATGAAGTAGGTGTAAACTATAGATCAAATAAATCTGATTTATGAAGTAGGTGTAAACTATAGATCAAATAAATCTGATTCATGAAGTAGGTGTAAACTATAGATCAAATAAATCTGATTTATGAAGTAGGTGTAAACTATAGATCAAATAAATCTGATTCATGAAGTAGGCGTAAACTATAAATCAAACATAATACTGCAGAAAAACTTTATTCTCAGAAAAGTGTAAAATACACCCTACTGAGGCTATTATCTCCGGAGTTTTCCATAATCCACTTCTCTATACGAACAGCATCGTGAGTTATTATATACATTAGGACCTCCTACGGTATTCTATTAGCGTGATAACCTCTATCCCCTGACTACTCGGGAGGGTCTTGGTCGGAATCTTTAGAAAGAAGAGGGTCTGTAATTCTCGTGCAGTGTTTAAAGCTAACAACTAAACTTATACGCTCTTTATAGAATGAATGCTACTTGTTATTACAGCCATTACCGGAGCTTTCAATGCCAGGCCTAACTGACTGACAGATTGCAGTCTGGATTATTGAAGAGCCAGTCAAAATTGTCGGACACATCACACGTATAAATGACACGAGCATTCCTTTTGGTTAGAATTAAGAAAACTTGTCTGTTTTGTTTTTTAACTTAAGGCTACAACTTTTGTCAGCTAGATTCTGAGATTTCTTTGTAGATCCTTTAACTGGAAGGCACATCAACGTTATCTGTAGAACTGGCATTTGGTATTTGTCATTTGTCGCGCTTGCCCCCCCCCCCCGGGGGGAGAAGCAACATGGGTTTTCAAGTGCGAAAACCAATCACTAATTTCTTGTTTGCAACCAATAGCTTCCAGACTTTTCGGCACTACTGTTTTTTAAATACAGCACGAATAATGCTGTTCACCTGGTGGGTCCTTTTCCACCTTAAAATGAGGTGTGGGGTTTACTAAATAAAGGTTTTTTTAATTATTACCGAAATTTAATTAAGCAATTTTTCGTTTAGATTCAACGTAAACGACTTTTATATTCTAATTTTCTAAGCCAACAGCTGTTTTTTGTGTTTTTTTTTTTACATTGAGTTGAGTATAACAGTATATTTCGTTCCAGGTGTTCAAAAATAAAACTTTACGCGGTGTGTAATGCTTTACCTTAAATGCTTCCTAAATAATAAAAAATAAATTACAGTGAAAGCAATGAAGATTTTATTGGTTTTGAACCAAACCAAATAACAGTAAACCATTTTTTAATCTATGGTATTTTCTTATTTTGATGTTTTGATCTCTTTTGTGTTTAGAACAATATATGGTAATTTTTAAAGTGTCAATTGAATTTTTGTTCAATAAAAATCTTTCAAATGCAACTGTAGCTTTCCCCCCAAAAAAACTTTGTCTTCAAAATAAGGGTGCGTCTTATATTCCGAAAAATACGGTAACCAAAATTTTAGGAAAACAAAGTTGAATTATCTAACCATTATGATTTATTAATAAAACATTACATTAGTTGTTTGTAATTAAGCACAAAGCTACACAATGGGTTATATGTGCTTTGCCCACCACAGGTATCGAAAAACGGATTCTAGCGTTGTAAGTCCGCAGACATACTGCTGTGCCACTGGCGGGCACACTACATTATATATATATTTTTTTTTAGATATATGCCCATCACATTTTTTTTCTCTTGATAGAGCAAAAATTGTATAATTCACACACACATACACATATATATATATACTTGTTTTGGAAAGTTTTTTTATTTTAAGATAACTTTAAAATACATAGAAGTATAGTCCAGATTATGTAATTATTCTTCATTTAATTTTTCTAATGGTAATATCTATTTATTTTACTTCAAACAGATTCGATAGACGCGACATCTGATGGAAATTCTGAAAACAATTCCTCTGCAGACGAGGACTCACAGTTGCGAATGCGCCTAAAACGAAAACTACAAAGAAATCGAACATCTTTCACAAACGAACAAATCGAAGCTTTAGAAAAAGGTAAACTCTACGATTCACAATTTTATTTTGAAATATTTACTTTACTGTAGATATTAGATAGATACTTTCTTGTCATTTTACTGGAAGATACTTTTTGAAGTGGTAAATATTAAACTTCATTTATATTTTTTGAGTCATGTAACGTTAATCCTTTAACTGATTTCAGAATTTGAAAGAACGCACTATCCAGATGTTTTTGCAAGAGAGAGATTAGCTGAAAAGATATCTCTTCCAGAAGCTCGTATCCAGGTAAGTCTGGTATAAAAGGCATGGCTGGTCTTACTGGTTCTACATTGTAATGCTATGTAATAAATTTTCAATATAATTCAGAGTACAATGATAATCAAAATATTCTTTGAATATTCACTGCCGACTTTTATTTTAACATTTTCATGAATTTTTGTTTTTTCTTGCTGCCAAAAAACAGAACACCTTAAATTAAATGAAGAATTAGTAAATGGGCTAAATATCTGTCACTATTGGCATAAATATTTTTCTAACTACACTAACCCTCTAACTACAAACAAACAAACAAATCGTCGTTAATTCTAACCTTAAATTGAATTTAATATATATGAAATTTGTTTTTGTTAATAAATTTCTTATTTTGTAAGATAGTCAGTATATACTAATTATATGAGTTAAGCTTACCTAAACCCCACAGATAGCAATACTGTGAACAGAATTATTAAAAATTAACTACAAAATGACATCTATACTCCATATGATAAAAGTGATATTAGTTTAGTTTCGTTGTTGTTAATGGGCTTTGTTCTGTTCACAACGAGTATCGACACCCAATTTTTAGCGTTGTAAGACTACAGAATTGTCACTGAGGGGGATAGAACAAGTAAAGACGAAGAATTCCTTATTTAGAGTTAGTAATATATTATATATGGACATATAAAACACAGTCAGTCTTACTTTTTGCTCATCTGAACAAGCGGTTTTCTTTTAGTATAGTATTCACACATACATTTTGTTTCGATAACGAAAGATAATTTAAATCCGTATTATGATACAGGAATTTTCTTTTCGTTGTTCTTTGTTCATCTTAAATAACACGCATGATAATTTTTCGAGAATATCTTACTGATATATATATATATTTGTTTGTTTGTTTGTTTTGAAATTCGAGCAAAGCTACACGAAGGCTATCTGCGCTAGCCTT